TCTTTTTTCTTTTTCATATATATATTTTTTTGTTTTACGCAGGAGCGCATGAGCTGCACGAGCTCGCTTTCTCGATGGGAACCGAGAGGTATCGAAGGGGGCGATCGACCTTTGAAACCGCCTTTCGAAAATCCAAGTGCTCTCGCTTTGCTTTGCCTTGCTCTGCCTTGCCTCACCAAGGAGATTCGACCTCGCTCGATTTACCTCACGCAACACGGGTAAACGCAGCAAACGGAGAACGAGCCATTGCGATTTGCGTCAGTAACGGCCACCCACGTGCACCAAGCGCCGCCGAACGCTGATTAATGTCCTCGATTTCGAACCGGGGATCGATCCTAGATCGTAGATCGGCGGGCGCCGACACGCAACCCGACGTCGCTCTCGCGAGGGCCGGCTGAGGTTGCGCAACTCGCGACTTATGCTCCGCTTGCGTTAGCAATATCGGCGACCTTTCATGTCCCTTAAGTACGCGGGGAGTACGGGAGAACGGTACCGCGCGGCCGCGCGCGCTGAGAAAAGCTGAACTGACACACGCCGCGAACCCTCCGACAGATATACCGCGCGAGTTAGAAAGTTTTTCAGAAATCACGTGTCGGGACCCTGAGAACCCCAGAGAATTCATCCCCAAGCGACAGGAAAATAGTGGCTTTTCGCACACAGATCTGCATTCCAGTTAAACGTTATTATTTTCGATAATAACTAGATGTCTTATTCGCGCGATAGACACGGACATCTATACAGATATAAAATGGAATAAGTATAATAGTTCGGTACATTTATATTTTTAGAGCTGTTTTAACCTCAAGGTGCACAAATAATATCAGTTTAATAATCTAGTATTTTCGTAAAATTATATTAAGAATTTAGTAACTAAGTAACTGTTTGAATCGAAATGATTTTAAAGATTTTTAATTTGGATCGATTTATAATTGGGAAAATATCATGAATCATTGCCGGCCTAATTAATTAATAAGCGATAAGTGGAAACACGTTCTTGATCAATATCTCCTACTTTGCATTGTCGTTTTCTTCTGGCTCACTTCAAAGAACTGCGAATACAGGAGTCTCGGAATGATTTTTTTAGATTTCGAAATATGTTGTTGAATATTACGTAACAATCTTAACACACGAATTGTCTAAAAATGGATACCAAATAAGAACTTGCTGAATTCATATTGCTTAACCGTTTGTTTATTTTTACCACAATTTTTCGAAAATAATAAATCTGCGGATAATACCAGAGCATTTAATAATGAGAGAAATTTAAATCTTTGAATTCAAATTCTACAGATATAATCTCAGGTTATTGAGAGAAATAAAAATGCAAATAATAATGAAAACAATTAATGATACGGCGGTAATAATGAAATTAATTTTAATGAACTTAAACGGGTTTTTCATTAAAAATAAAATATAGGACGTCTGCAAAGCCAAAACCTTACGAAAAAAGAAGAAGAAAGGTGAAAGAGCGCACGAAGAGAAAACAAGATGCGATGTCGCAAAAAGCCAAGAGGGTCGCCTTGGATGAATAAATCGTTTTAATTCACTTCGCGAAAATGTTTCTTACGTTAACGATCGAAAGACGCGTTCTACCTTTAACCCCGACGTACAATAAATAGCGAACTTTTATCGGGATAAATACCAACAACCGCTTTAGCTTTGTAAAGAAAAATATGGTACTTGACGTTTAACGTTTCCCGCATAATTTATGTACTATCGATAAGTATAGGAACAGAAATATCTCTGTGTGAATAGCTTTACGTGTCGTATATTATCTATAACGTTCCTCATGTAACAACACGCGCAATATATACACGGGAGAGAACCGGAGAACCTTTACGGCGATAACAAGAGAATGGTATTTTTCGCGCGAATATATTTCACATTCGCCTCGACGAAAGTCCCATCGATCGCCATCTTTTCTCGCAACTTTCAGCATTAAATACCTCGTCCGTGGCGTGTCGGAACCCGAACCCGAACCACGCTCGGATCGAGTGTCTGATTTCAGGTAAAATCCAGGTAAAATACCGCGGACGTGAGCGAACAGTGATCAAGTCGAAGGTTATAACCGGTCGTCTTATTTAAAATCAGAGCAGATCTTCGTAGGTGACGTCCAGTTGCGAGTTTCGTGACGTTGACAAAGAGGGAAGGAAGGAGAGGGAAAGAGTGAGAGAAAGAGAGAGACAAAGAGACGAGAGGCGCGGGGAGAAGTCGAAACCGTAAAAGTCGTGCGGTGGAAACAAGTCTGGTGCAATTACTACGAGGCCTGGCTATCCTCGGACCAGGAACGAACGACCAACCACGCCCTCGCTAATGCGCGAGCCCGCGCGAGACAGGATTTCGAATCGGCTCGGCAAGGACGCCTGCTACATACAATGCACCCGCGGCACACAAAGACCGGCTACTGACATTTTTTAATTACACCCTGTTTACGCGGCCGAGACTCGCCTCGAATCGCCAGCGGCGTGCCAGTATTGCCCGCGGCTATCGCCGACAATAAAGTTTCGCACGATACGAGCACGTGTCTCTCCGTATCGGCGACCGAAAACTCTCACGATAACCTGGACAAAGGCTGAAGCGCGCCTTCGGTCGTTCGATCGGAACGAAAAGTTTGGATTCTTTGCCACGGTAGATTTAGCGAGAATTTAAACGGTCGACAAATTTAACAGATGCTAGAACGATGGAAGAATGTATCTGCCACCGATCGAATAATAAGCGGTATCTTAGAAAAATTTTAAGACTCAAGCGAGAATAAAAGGAAAAGATGAAGAGATGCACAAAGAAAGTAACAGATTGTATAATCTATAGCTGTGTGATCAAAAGAGCCATCAGAGACATGTTAGAGAAATTTCATTATAAAGACAATATATTCTACATTTTTTATTTCTCATTTTCGTAAAATCGTTAACGACACGCAATTTACGTTTCTTTATTTCGGCATAGAAATTTCGTATGTAAATATTTTAATTATCTTTTGCAAGCGGCGATAATGCTTTTTGGTCAAAGTACGATCTACTATTCGGAAAGCAAAGTCCAGCTGTGGAGGAAAGGCGTTAAAAATGTTATTCAACCGCTCGTATCAACAATACCTTCTACGCCGTGTTCTCGTGAGCATATTCACGAGAGATAAATTCTCCTCGCGAAGATCTCACGAAACCTTTCTATCTTTATAATTAGCTCGCTTGTTTCCAACTACGTGAAATGATAGGTCGATTACCGCGAAATGATTACCTATTACTTACTAAATTGAGGAGTAACGATAAAAAAAATATGTAATAAGCTCAAAAGGTAGATCATGGTATATAATGTTTATTATTAATAATTCCTTGCTGTTTGCGTATCATGCGTAATAAAACCGCGTATTATGTCAATAATAATCACATCTCGGAGCTTTGTTGTCATCATTCGATTCCATTTTAATATTATTGTCAGATATTTAATTGTAAATTTAAATATTTTATCAAATTTAAATTATTCATTATCGAAAACAATTCTTAATGATAATAATATTCCGCTAATATTAAATAACATTGATTTCAGTATCAAAAAAGAATAATTCCAAACAAGATTGCTTCAAGTTTAATGTGCTATCTCTTACGTAAAAAAAATAAAGATAAAGAATCGTGCAAAAAATTGAGAATATTGAGTTCACGCCGCGTTCTTATATATGTGATACAGTTTTCGATTATGCCTCGAATCCTCTCAATCGTTGACATATTTTAATTAATCATTCAGTCAGATAAAGAGGAGGGAACAAATGATTCGCAATTCACGCTAATTCTTTGCAAAATTGAAGGACAGCGGCGCGACCCGCGCAACAATCGCACGGCAGTCCTGTCAAAGGCGACGCGTTTTGCGGAAGACGATAAACCTGCTCGGTAAAAGTTGCGCCGCCAAGAAAACCGCGGGATCGGCGGCGGGTTTCGCCTCTGTTTTTACCGCGAAATTTTCCATCACGTACCAGCCGAGTGAATTTCTCGGTTCTCCGTACCTAACTATCGACATTGCCGGCCTTATAGTGGTGGTAGATTCGAAAGTTAGCCTTTCGTACGACCGACTCGTCGGCTCGTGTCTTTCTTCGACAGGGCCGTAGCTACTGCGACTCGCCCGATCGAAGGATCCTCCACTACGATCCTCTCCTCGCTCTCTGACGTTTAACGCCTTCTCTACACCTCTATTTACAGGACGAATAAATCAATCGCTTGTCTGTTTGAAATACGGCGATAACGATAAACCGCGCATATTTATAATTGCGTATATAGGATTGCTACGGTATTTTTATGAAGTTGAGGGTTTCGAATTTGCTCTTATAGTATTCAAACTTAACTACTTAACGTAATGTAAATCGTTTAGCGTATCAAAAACTATAAAGAATTAATTAAATTAAATTTTAAAAGCTTTAAAACCATCTGACGTTCAAGAGAATAATCAATTAGTTTTGATGTAGAATTCTCGTGGTTCGTTTGTACTTTAGTTTAATAAATATATGTAACTCTATTGGATTAATAATTAACACACTGTTAAATATTAAAAGATAACATTTCTTGACCAAAATATCTTGATCAATTTAGATAACATTCTGTTATTTTTAACTACCATGTGTGTCGAAATTTATTATTTTAATAAAAAACAGTTATTATTTTAACTCCATTTCGGTTTAATTAAATTGTTTCAGTTAAATTGACGACATATTGAATAGGAGCAGTGAACTTATAAGAATGATAGAAAATAACTCAAATTGAATCTAATCTTTGGCATTTATGTATTTAACAGTGTATCACTTCATTCACTTCGCCAAGTAAGAGTTTTTTTGATAGAACGAAATGAAGTATAACGCACAACTTAGCGTAATACATGTATTCTTAAGCGAATTATCATAGTGGCACATTTAAAATAAATCACAATAAAATGTTTACGAGGAACGGCTCGTGTCAAAGGCAAAACGCTTTTACGAGCAAACACAATTAACCAACCATATATAATTCAAAGTCAAAACTTACCGTCTCCACCATGTCGAATCCTCCTCCGTACACCATATCTCGTTCGCCTTCGCTGCCGACTTGACACTTTTGACAGCTGTCGTCCTCGCGCGCGAGGATCGATCTCTCGGCGCTCTCGATCGAGTGGAGAGATCAACTTTGCTTCGTCTTCACGCGGTCGCCGACGGCGACGACGACGACGATGGAAAATCCACCGGATCCTCCTCGTCCTCTCCGCTCGGTGCCTTTTCCGTCAACAAGTATTTATCCAGTTGCTCCTGGTCACCGGATCCCTCCTTGTCTCTCCGTCCTCGTCGCGTGCGCGGCCGTGTGCCTCTCGCGAATCCTCGCGGCTCCTCGCGGCTCCTCACAACCCTCGTATGTCGCGTACGATCGACCGACTGACCGCCGCCGCCGAGCGAGCGCCGAGCGTGTGGCGGGAGTCGGTGTCGGTGGGCGCGTTCGAATTCGAAGCGATCGGCCCGAGCGTCGCCGAAGTCGGCCGAGCGCGGGCGACCTACTAAGTACTAACTCGCGCATGCGCGCGCGTCGCGCGCGCACCCGCGGCTCGCGATCCACAACCCGGCGCGGCGCGGGCGAGCTGAACGTCGCTCCGCCTTTGCGAATTCGCGAATCTCCGCGACACCGGACACGTGGTCGCTTAATTCCGCGCCCAACAGCTTTCGCTCTCTCGCGCGTGTCCTCGCGGCGGATTTGCTGCGGACGATACCTACACGCCGTAATGCGAAACGACGAATGCGCGAGAAAATATCAACGACGGATCGTTCTTTCTCCTCGTTGTCCGCGAACGCGCTCGCTGAATTTCTTCGCTTTATCACAATCCGAATTAATAGTGCGCCGCGGCGCGTTTTTTAATAATCCCGCTGATTTATGAAACGCAGGCCGTGGTGTTACGATCGAGCTCGGCACGGCGCCCGGTCGACTTTTTTTCCCCTCTCCTTTCTTTCTTTCTTTCTTCCTCCCGCGTCCGTCCCCGGCGGACCTTCACCGGCGCGAATAATAAAGATCGTCGGCTTGCGCGAGAGGATCCGTTCGCGAGAGGAGTGAATTTCACGCCTATTACGCTATTCGCGCCACTTTATCACTCGCGCTGAAAGAAAATGGAAGAAAACGTCTAATCATGATTGCGAGAGCCAAATCTCGCCAAGTTAAACGGAAAAATATTACTAGAAGCGGAGAATCGTTATTATTATTTTTTTTTACATATAACAAATGTCTAATTACACGCGCTATTAAATTACAAATACGCGTTTTTTTTTTTGCTGAAAGATTGGCTCAAGACGCTGACGTTTTGCAACGTACTCACTGCGGGAAGCCGTTTCTTGAATAAACGAATAAAAGATTTGAAGATATTTTAGAGTTACAACGATGAGATCAACCTCTGTTAATTTTTTAAAAATTATCTACGGATAAGAAAAACAAAAAGAGCAGCGTAAAAATGTTCGTACGAGGTTCGTGCGAGAGATCACGATTTTGCGAATCCTTCAGGGAAAGGATCCTCCCGCGCGCGGTCGCGTTGTGAACCGATCTTAACGCGATCGGAGTTTATTGAGAAGCAGCCGCGATACACAGAGGATAGAAGAGGAGCGTAAGCGATGCTCGGCGAAGAGAGGAAGGAGGAGCGGACGGGCGCGTCCACCTTCTCTTCAGGGTGCTCTTACCGTGCGTAAATATAGGGCATACCACGTAGCGAGTGCACCGTAGAGGGTGACCCCGATGACCCAAGTGGTACCCGAAGGCAGCCAGCCTCGATGAAGAGGACGAGCGCGCCGAGGCAGCGAGAAGGGGGCAAAGGGAGGTGGATGCGAGGGAGGAACGAATCGTCGAGCCGGTCCAAATGAAGAAAAAAGGCGGACTCGCCAAAGAGGAAAAGAAGAAGAACGAGAGGACGGCGAGGGAACGAGGAAAGAGAAAGAAAGAGAGAGAGAAAGAGAGAGAGAGAGAGAGAGAGAGGGGGGAGAGGGGAGAAAGGAGATGGTACGCTAAAGAGACGTACGTTCCCACACGAACCCCCCAAGATGCGTCCTGCCATGGTCGGGCCTCTGGACCCCCGATGCCCAGAAGCTGATAAAAACAGCTACAAAACTGCCTACCGGTGTTTTCTGCCTTTTGCTCCTGCATTACTCCCAGCTCTTACTGCCGTCTCTCTTCGACACCTTCTTCCGCTCGACCCACGCTCTCCCTCGCGCTTGTTTAATCTAATCTCGACGGCCAGATCGGATATATTCTCAAAATGATTATTTCATAATCACAGTTATGATATAGTTTTGAATGTATTCTCTTGAGAAATATATATTTGTTATGTCGAAATAAGCATCAGTGATAGCTCTTCATAAGATTTCACGTAATCGATATTTATTGCTAATATAGGTACATCTCTCCGATTTATATTCGGATGAATAATGACTCTGTGCCAGTTAATTGTTATTTAATGAAATTAAGCTTTATAAAGATACGAATTTTTGCGGAGGAAAACTGAAGACCTCGCAATCAAAGTGTCGATATACGTCTGCAAAATGCGTCGGCGTGTCGGGGTAAAAGCTCAATTGATTAGCTCCGACAGGCGCGAACAATGCGTAACGTTTGTGTATACGCTCTTTCTGAATTTATCCCTGTCGCGCATTGCTGCTCATATTGTCGGGATCGCGATTGCGACACAGATTTACGCCGTGGGAATCGACGGCGACGGCGATGGGTCTTGCAGCCGGCGGCGGCGGCGCAATTCCATCGTCGGATGCGATCGCCGCGAGCTGCGATGGCGCATGGCGGCGTGAGTCACACATGGCGTTGCTACACTTTCTATGATACCGTGTGGAAAGAGAGTCGAGAGTACCTATTATACGTGCGCGCGAGCCAAATTGCGAAACTATCGCCGATCGGCGGGTTTTATTATTGGGAAGGCACGCCGCGCAGCGCGGCGTGGCGTTTGCTCGCGCGCGCGAGAAAGAGGGGGAGGGAGAGAGATGGAGAGTAATCAGCCTGGAAAGTGACGCGTGAAATTGCGACGACGATAAGTCTCTCTCTCTCTCTCTCTCTCTCTCTCTCTCTCTCTCTGTCTTTTTTTTCACGCAAGGAGATACCGACGCAACGGAAGTGACTAACGCGATTTTTAGTCCGCCGCGCGTCATACCGCCTCTCGTGACGCCGATCTCCCCTTCTTGCGATCGCGCAAGGGAAACCACTTTATCTTAACTGTCGGAAAATCTGTTTTTCTCGCTTGCTTATCTCGCTTGCTGTGCGAGAAGCGCCGTGGAAAATTATCGACGTGTCTCTCCTAATTAACGGAGAAATCGAATTCGGACTGAATCGAGAAACGTCGATCGTTAAAATTCAAATGCCACAGAACCCGATATTTTATATTAAATGAGAACGCTAACGCTGCTTTTCAGATTAATTACTCGAGATGCTGGAGAAGATAAATGTGTACCCTCTTAAAATAAATTTTTAAAATTTTTCTTACATCAATGTAAAAACAATGAAACAGCTACTATTGTCCGTCGATTCCACGACAATTCTTATAGATCTATTCAACAAAGTTGTCGTGTCTAATGAAACCCGTCTGACGTTACGTAACGTTGTCGATAATTATACTGATTATACCGCTTATCCTTTTCATGCTGGTGAATAAATCGATTGCGCGCGTCTAAAAAATCCACGACGACCGTTGTTGCTAATGTAAGACATCGATCGTCTCGGAGAGCATCGGTGACGTTTCCAAGCACTCTTCCAACGTACTTGAAAAACTTGGAGACGATCGTATCTTCTCCTTGTTTTCCCTCCTTACATGATCTTCCGTACGGTACCGAGAAGTATATCGTGAGATCGTATCGCGGATCGGATCACGTGGGATCACGTCGATTTAACAGTTCGAACGATAAATTAAGCGTTGCGCGATCCTGCACAACGCGAAAACGAGCATCCAATATATTTTAGTTAAGTGCGCAATAATTATCTGACTTAAAACAAACACTGCGCGTATATATTTTGCGGCAAAATGGTTTCCACATGCTTTGTTTAATTTTATTTCTAAAGTTAATACCTAATTTAATCGGTTTGATTTTATTTTCTGGATACAATTTTAAGAGTGATAAAGCAAAAATAACTTTATGTCTAATTCTGAATCGATCAATTTTTCCGAATTGACATATTTCCGAAGTGAGTTTAATTCTATAGAGAAAAGATGTTCAGTCCTTGGGGTTTAGAACAAAAATCAATTTTAGACGAAGAGATTAATTAGAAAGATTAACTTTCATTATCCGACGTTAATTTGACACAATCTGCATACGTTCAGCTATTGGCGAAAAACAAAAATTACGAGCGTTAATAAAAATGGTCATTAATCGCAATTATCCGGCGCGCGAAGGATTTGTTCGAGTACTCCTTCCTTTTCTTTAACTCGGTGAAAGTACTGGATACGCTCGAGCTCCGTTAATTTGTTTAAATTACCGCAGCCCTCCCCTCTCTCTCTCTCTCTCTCTCGTGTGTATTTCCCAGCGATTTGACTCGCCATTGTCGGTGAACCGTCGTTAGTTATTGGCACGTAATTTCATTTCACAGATTTTTGTGGACGTCGACGTCGGAATTAATAAGAGAAGAAGACGTATTGAAATCCCATTCTCTCTCTTCGTCGTAATCGTAGAGTGTAACATTTGAATCGGGCGCACGATATCTTTAAATTATTAGCAAACAAGACAATATATTAGCGACGGCTCAACTAAATCATTGTCTTTTTCAGGGAATCGTGCGAAGAAACGCGTTAGGAAACATTTTCCCGGTAAAGATGCCAATATAACACTCGACTTTATATATAGCAATAATAACTCATCGATGACAGATGTAGTTGCGCGACGAAGATTAAAAAGGCGTGCAGGGCGAAGGGCGTTGAAATTGAACGGACGCCTTCGAAGGACGATCGTTTTCACGAAGGTTGACGCGCGTTTTACGCAATCGGCAGATCGCGCAGATCCGGAAAACGCCTGTCCTGGAATTCGTTTCGCAATGATGACGTACGCAATGCGCGCGCGCGCGTCGCCATTGCCGAACCGTCCCGCGAGCGGACAGACACACAAAGGGCTATTGTACCGATCCTTTTCTTTTCTTCTTTTTTCCCTTTTATCCCGTAAAGCGTGTCGCGGATCTAATCGCCCACGCGAATGCCTGCGCGCTCTCGCGCGAATCGTTGCGCCGCGCCGCGCCGCGCCGAGCCGAGCCGAGCTGAGCCGGGACTCCGATTTCAAGGAGCGCGTTACGCACATGCGAGTTATTTACTGTCGTATCAAGGTTGAGCGCGGGACGCCTGATCTTACGGTATGCCTCGGCTGTACCGCCCTAGCCGGGAGACACTCCGGCTTTAACTAGGCACACCGGGGCACGCGGTAAGAATGCATTCTTTTCTCGTTTAAGAA